TGTCGTTATTGTTGTTGTTGTATGATTAACTTATTTTGTTTTCATGTTAGGATATTTTTGAAAATAGAACCTGAAAAGATAGTCAACACACACATATATGCTACTCAATAAAGCATGTATATATAATTTTGTAGTCATGTAAATCAACTTTTAATAACTACTATAATAGAACATGAGAATGTAAAGTTAATTCATAATTTTTGTAATATTGTATAATTTATAAAAAAAAATGTTTATTGATATAGAACTTTGTAGTCTTCATATTTTTAGTTTATTTTATTATTAATATTAGAAGTTCTCAAGTTTTTGAGATTTTCAAAGATAATTATTACAATTTGTTTGGTCAGAAATTAAAATACAAAAGTATTTGTTTTGGATAAAAATAATTTAGTAAAATTGTTTATCAATTACTGCACCTCCATTGGTTCATAATTTTTTATATAAAAATTCAAGTATCTTTATGTTCCGTACTTTAATGACTTTTGATAATCATAACTCCTAAATTATATTAATAATCATATTCATAATATCGTTTGATATTTCATATTGTTGTCCTATAAATAGGGGCATTATAAAAATATTTATAAAAAAATGATCAAATTTATATGTATAGTAAAATTAAGATTATATATATAGATAAAACTAAAAAAAATAATTTCCTTAACTTTTTTTTCTCGAGAAAAACTTTAAATTCCATAATTTAATTTTCTCAATGACAAATTTATGTTAAAAGTGTTAAAAAAATATCATATATATAAATTAATTTTCTTCTTAACAACATAAATGGAGTTTAAATAAGGATAATAAGAGTAATATTTTTTTCTCTTTCCTTTTTACCATAATAAATATGAATATATGATTAATGTGTATTAAATTTATTATTATTGAAAGCAAATAAAAGTTTCTTTTATTTTTTCTACATTAAAGAAGGTGTTATCCTTTGTACAGTTATTACTCCAATTTATTTATAATAATTACCACGATAATATTATAATAATAGATTGAGAGAGAACAACTTTTTAACTTTTCATATCAACGTTTATATTTTCAACTTTTTTATCAATATGAAAATTTATTTTTAGCAATTTTTTTGAATAAGTAATATCAAAGTCGTATTTTAATTTGTGTTTCTCTCTTTTATTATATTATTTATTAAAACATTTATCAAATAGTGAAATTAATTTTTTTTAAAAATATTTAAGTTTTTCTTATAACTGCGCGAAGCGTGGACAAGTACACTAATTTCTTAATAAGCATAAATCTAAACAATTTCTTTTGAGATACCATCTTCACTATTTTCCTAACACAAGTCACCTCAATTGCCCAAAACTACTAATCTCACACTTCCACTACTATTCCACTATATACACCTATTATTTTAAACTAGATATCAAATAATTCTGTCCACAAATTTTAAGGCTGACGATAAAAAATCAAATGTCTTATTTTTGGTGGACCATTGCCTTTCTTTTAGCACTAACAATTGACAGGAAACTAAAAAAAAGTTTGCTAGAAAGTGTCACCCCAGCTTTCCCTATGGCTGATTTGGTGTGAGGTAGAGCATACTCAGTCACTCCCCTCCCCTACTGCTGATTACACTCTTTTCCCCTTTTCCCCCCACAAACTAATTCACATCAAAAGCTTCCACTATGCTTCTTTTTTTCCCCCTCATAGTACAAGTACAGCTATTGTTTACTTAACTTTGACAATCTGTTAAATTTTTTTAAAAAAATCTATTTATATATATTGGAACGAAAAGAGTACATACAGAGTGAAAGATAGACACTTTTTTTGAATAACTCAATGGTTATTCAACTTGTAGGAATTAATTAGCTAATGCGATGTATCATTTGTAAACATTCATAGAGAAAAAGAAAAATGGAATTTTCTAGCATGTTTTACTTAAATTGTAGGAGATACTGTTGGGATATATACTATTAACCATGTGTTAAGAAATAATATTTATTATAGAATAAATATTTGCTCAATTTTAATAGATCATATATTTGTTTATGGTGTCTGTTTACTTATATAGTAGATGATTTAGTGTGTAGAGTTTTAGCTTATACACAGAGGATTAAATCATCGGTTCTTATAAGTATTTTTTGTTCACAATCTAGGATGGAAATTGGACATGCCATCGGTACGATTGTAGCACAAGATTATATGTAATTTATCTTGATTATGGAAACGGTATAGTTCCAACTTCTTGTGCTAGTGCATTTTGTATGTATTGAACGGGACCGAGTAGAGATAGTTGTTTTAGACTGACTGACAAAACATATTCTCTAAACTATTAAATGTACTTATATTCTTAATCCTGATATAACTATTATGATATGTATATATTAATTATCGTTTTGATTTATTAAAAGGTGAGATTCTGAGATGAGTCAATATGCTTGGTAAGTTGGATGATAATAATATATATTGGTGAAATAATAAGTTAGTTGATGGAATCCATGTCTTGTTATAGAGATTGATTGATATGCCTTTTTGAGAAACTTATAAGTTTTCATCGTGTCAAACCTTGCAAGTGGATTTATGAATCCGACACATGAAATAAGTTAAGTAGTGCTCTAAAGGAAATTAATCATTAAGTTAAATTCGTCAGTAATTTAATTTATTGATTAGTATCTGAAATCTTAACATGGGGAATTACGAAATAAAATAGAGGAGTGCAATTACGAATTTCTAGTGGAATGATTTGTAATTTATCATGGTAAGAATAATTCAAATTAATTATTTGGAATTATTTCCATAATAGAAATCCTCAGTAATTAATTCTGTGGTCCCTCTCATGCCCATATTTAACTAGAACTCAGAATCATATTTCTTAGGGGAAAAAGGAGTAGGCGCGTGTTTTCTTGTTTTTCAAGAAAACTGGGTTTTCTTCTCCTTTTTGGATTGGGGAAGAAATCTCTATAAATAGAGATTCTCCTAACCTAGAAAAAAATTGATTAGTTTTTTATTCATACTTGCCCATCCAAGTATTGAGAGAGTTCAGATGTGAACTTGGGATCACTATAGAAGACCATAGCTATCTTGTAGATTCACTTGAAGTCTGTCTATTTTGGGGATTCGCTTGAAGGTATCTGTTCACGCTTCAAGAGGTATTTATCAAATTAATTTCAGTATGCTTATGTGATCTAGCATGATTATGTGGTCTAGCATAAACAATATTGATTATCTATTATTCATGTAAGCAGTAAAGATTCTAGTATGCTTCCGCTGTGCATATAATTTTTCAACAGATACAAGCCTAGTTTGATGACTTTATTACGATATTTATATGACTTGAGTTATCATTTGAGAAATTAATTCGAGTTGAAACATACAAATAACTCGCCCTAGGGATAGAATAGATATTTGTTTCTTGTTATGTGGTGTTGCAAGGAATGCGATCAGCTGCAAGAGTTGTTTAAACATATATTCCCAACAGTAACATGCGCCCTTCAGATTTTGCGGCAGCCTATCATTTTATTGTTAGATTAAAATTAAATGTATCAGGAAAAAAATATTTACCGTTTCTATTCTTCCTTATACATAATTCATTTACTTATTTTCTATCGAGCATCGCTATATATGTAGATGCTAAACTAGTCGCCTTTTATTAAATAGAGAAAATGTTAATCTATCACCAACACAGACGACATATTAGAATAATTGAACGCAGAATGATTACTACAAGTTAAAATAGGTGTGTCCCAAATTTGATGCTTGATTTTGACTCTACCATGTCATTTTAATTAGAACTATATACATCCCTGTACTTGTAAACCATTAGCCCTACATAGCAGAGTCATTGTTTTTTATCGTTTATATAACAGTTTGGTTTTAACGAGTGACGGCTCAAACATATTAGTGGTCTAAAGTCAAAATCAAATAGAAGCCTTAAATTTTAATTTTTTTAATGAAATTTATTATAACCAATTCATTTAATTTTTTTGACACATAATATTTTAGATGTGATAAACTTTTTCAAATAATTCTTTCCTCGTCTGAAAAGTTTACATTTTCTACAAATAATACTCAATAAAAAATACGTATAACCTATTATTGCTAAAGAAAATAACGCCCCTCAAATTTAAAGGCCTGACACAACTTTTTTTTCTAGGCCCGAGTTTAACTTCTTTCCATTATAGGTATAGTTTCTTTTAAGAACTTCAAGTTAAGATTTTTTCCAAATTATCATCAATGATGTACTACAACAATATGTAACCGATTAATTGGTATAATAAGCCTAATTTAATAGCCTAACAATTAAAAAACGTAAGTAATATGATATAATCGGTTAAAATATATTGATTGATAGAGTAAAAATAAGTTTTACTATATGACATATTTCCTCGAAAACTTCATGTTAAACTAATGGTCGAGGGCTAGCTCATTCAGTGAGCTCTATCAATAGAATTTTTTTAATATATAGTAACGAAATAAATATCCCCTTCTCCAATCCTTCTTGTATTATATAAAAAAAATTGTATCTCAAATATTATAAAGTTGATCCGGTTAAAAGAATATTAGTGGGCATAGAAGATCTGATCTATATTGACAAATGAAAATATAAATAGATTTAAGGCTAGGTTATAATGGATTTCATGTGATGTAAAATAGCAAAAGTTTAAGAGCATTAATACAAGAGCACATCACATTGCAGGTAAGAAGAATATTTGGAAGACTCTAATAAATTAAAATAAATAACACGTCACGTTATATGCTCTAATTTGTTAAGTATAAACTTAGCTGGCTTCCAGTCTTGCCATCTTCCCACCCCATGTTAATGTCCCCTTCCCTTCCCCCAATTCCATGTTCCCACTTCTCTTACTTAACACCCTTTTTTCTTTTTATAAAAGGTCGCTTGTCACTCTGTCTAGTAATATAAATTCGCTTCTAAAAAATGTTTTTTTTTAAATACCGTCACTCCCTCCCTCCCACCCCCTACGTAGCTGACACGCATTACATATATACAGTAGCTGACTATAGATTTTTTTAGCTAGCATGATTTCTGGTACTAGAGGGATCATGGCTTTTCTTCCTTGTAGTACACCTGATATTTCCCTCAATTTTCAAGATAATAATCATCACCTTCCTTCCACTTCTCCTAAACTATTTTCTTCTCCTTCTCTTCCTCATCAAGATCACTTCAATCATGGTAAGTTTAATAATTTCTCTATTACAAGACACGAATTCAGGTCATATATATATATATATATTTTTGAATTATGATTCTTCAAGTTTGCTCGATTAACATTATCGTTATATAATCCTTCTTTCATGGTCACATATCTTTCTAGTTGATGAGGAATTAGCGATTTTTTTCTTCACTTATCACATGAATTCAATTGAATATTTATTGAAACTAGCGATGTTTGACATATAAATTAAATTTGTGGGATTATATATATATGTGCAGGTGTACCATCAATGTTAATGAGGAGATCGATGTCGTTTTCTGGTGTGGAGAGGTGCAATAATCATGTGGAGGATAATGAAATGTCGGATGAGGATGGATCATCGCAATTACTAGGGGAGAAGAAGAGGAGGCTTAATATGGAACAAGTGAAGGCACTGGAGAGAAGCTTTGAAGTGGCTAATAAGCTTGACCCTGAGAGGAAAATACACTTGGCTAGAGCTTTAGGGTTGCAGCCCAGGCAGATTGCTATATGGTTCCAGAATAGAAGAGCAAGGTGGAAGACTAAGCAATTGGAAAAAGATTATGAGATCTTGAAAAGACATTTTGATTCACTTAAGACTGATAATGATGCACTCAAGGCTCAAAACAAGGAACTTCATTCCGAGGTAGTAATTAATTTCATCTAAAATTCAACTCTCGTTTATTGTTCATTGATTATTTATAAATTTTGGTGTGACAGCTGCAGTTATTAAGTGTGAAGAAGAGAGAATCATCAGGCGCAATAATTATGTTTAATCTAAACAAAGAAAACGAAGGATGTTGGAGTAATAACGGAAGTGACGACAACAACAACAACAACAGCATAGACGTAAATCTGGGAACAAGGACATCATCAGGTGACAGTCCATTTTACTCCAAGAATAATGTTTTTCCACCCGAACCCGGCCCAGTCCCTCTGGCCCAGTTCCTTCAGAGCTCATCAACACCACCTGATCATCTCACCCATTGCAACAAGAATAATATTGATCCAACGGCCCAACATGAAGGATTCTGCAACATGTTTACTCCAGTTGATGATCAGACCAATTTTTGGCCATGGCCAGAGCAGCAACACTTTAATTAGTTCATTTATTTTCTTTAATATTATTATTATATCACCATCCTTTTGTTCTTATTCATAATAGTTTAAATTCTTTTGGGTGTATAGCAAATCATGTAACAATTATTACCAATCAGAAATGGATTTTCTTTCTTTTTTCCCCTCTTTGCGCGCGTTTATACAAGTCTATTTCACTTTTCGTTATTATCTTAAATTTTAATATATTTTTTTTTATACTCCCAATTTATTTTTCTTTATTTTATAATCACACAAACATATGTATGACTTAATTTAAACTGAAAATCAAATTATGTCAAATTAAATGAAAGGTAGAAAATAATTGTTTATTAATATATTTATATTCCGCTTAAAGTATTAATTAAACTCGCCTTCAAGCAGGCATAGTAGTACGTACTGTTTTTGGAAGGTTAGACCAGTTGGGATATAGGAGTTTAATTATAATAATATGTTGTGTGGATATATAATAAAAGAGAGGCATGCAATATTAGGAGAGCCTGTGGTGTAGGGTCTCCACCTTTGGCATTGGACCATTTATAAATTACTACTACTAATATTTTATTTTATTCTGAGAAGAAAAATGAACAAGTGTGGTGATCGTGGGGTTGGGGGAGAAGATTCGCATTTGTTTTTATATATTTAAACGTTTTATATGATATTAAGTTTTTTTCTTTGTGGAGTAAAAAAAAGATTGTATATTTTGTATGAAGATGATTTTTAAGAATCTTCTCTTGATACTGATAATTGAGGATCATACAATAATTTCTTTAATTTGCTGCAAAAACGTAACAATTGTATACCGCTAATCACAAGTCACTACATCAAAAGTTACATTTAGTGCTAATAAAGTTAGTTTCCTTTTAGTATTGTCGCAAATTTTTTAATGGTAATGAGCTAATGTTATTGATATCAAAGTCACTAAAACTTTTAGCGATATTTATAGAGAGGAATGGTTATAAATATCTGTATATGTTATTATAGCCACAATTTTATTATTATTTTGAAATAATTGACAAAAAATCATTTTTTATTGCAGTAGTATCTACTGATTCACGTACACATCAAATATCACCACTTTTTTTTTTCTTTGCTTTTGTAGGTTAAAAAAACCTGTATAGAGCTTTAGGTAATTAATTTGCAAATAATGTAGACATGAAGTCATCTCTCCATGCAAAATTGATAAGAAATTATAATGACAAGACATGTTTTGATTTTTCAGGTAAAAAGGCTTTGAGACTAATTATAAATTAGAGTTAATTGAATAAAGACATGAAAAAGGAGAAAGGCGCACATGCAAAGGATGTCCCATTTCCATGCTCAACACATCCATTTTACGTAAATCGACCCACTACCTTCCTTAATCTCCATTTTAGCCCACAATGTGACGCCTGCTGACTGGTTAGGTCCTACTAGTTTTTTTTTTTTTTTTTTTATATATACCCACAAACCTGACTAATTCGAATTCAGTAACACTCTTAAACTTTTAAATTACGACTTTCTAAGATGGGTGTTCAGTCAATATTTCGTTTGTTATTATAATTGTTAATACAAAAATTAGTATAGTGTTTAGATAAAAGTTAAAACACAATGTTAATAATTTACGTTCAACCTAGTGTAATTTTTCATTACAAAAAATTATAGATTTATTATTTATACACAGGTCTTAGCATGATATATTATACTATTAAAATAAGTTCAAATCATATATTTAATTTTTTTTATTTTTGAAACAAGATTGAACTAAAGGTAGTGCAAATTTTAAATATTGCTGAAAAATATGTGTCTTTGTCTACGTCACTGTGTGGCGGTTCAAACAGTCTTTTAAAAATTGTGTGTTTTATATCTCTATTCTAAAGAAGAAGAAGCAAAAAAAGAAATTAGTTTAGAAGAGTAATTTGATTGTGTCTGGTAAAATTTTAAAGTAAGAATAAATTTATCTGAATTGTGAAAAATGATTATATTTGATTGATGCACAATGCCTTTAATAGAATTGTGAAATAGGTTACTAAAAAACTGTCTGAAAAAAAAATGTTAAGTAGATATATACAATTTTAATTTCATTTCCTTCATTTGGTTTGAGAAAAAAATATTTTCTCTTAGAAAACATGCATGAATGAGTGAAGAAAAAATAGTTTAGAAGGAAAATTTGATTCTCAAGTTTTATAAAATTTTAAAGTCACGTAAATTTATCTGAATTGTGAAATTGATAACCTTTGATGCACAATGCTGTCAATTGGATTATGAAATAGTTTAATAAAAGTCCGACCGAAAATATATGATAAGTAGATATAAATGACTTTAATTTAGTTTTCCTTCATTTGATTAGGAAAAAAAAATCACTCTCTAAAAAAAAACATGCATGAATGTTGTTAATGAAGAAAAAAATGTTTCTAGTGTCTTATAAAATTTTAAAGGAAAATAAAATCTATCTAAATTATGAAATTAATTTTATTAGATGCACAATGTCTTACAACTAGATTATTTAATAGCTTAATAAAAGTTTGGTGCTTGAAGAAAATGATTTGTAGATACATATAACTTTAATTTATATTTCCTTCAACATACATACGAAATTAAGTTAAATTTCTTTCATTTGACTTGGAAAAAATAATTGTTTTCCTATAAAAAAACATACATGAATGCAACTGAAGGGGAAAAAAATAGTAGAAAGAAACATAATTCTCGAAACTCATAAACTTTAAAGTTTAGTAAATCTACCTAATTTGAGAAAATTGATTTTATTTAATGCACAATACTTTTCATTGGATCATGAAACAGTTTAATCTTAAATAAAAGCCTGGTTGAATTTTTTTTTAATGAAATAGATATAAATGACTTTAATCTAATTTACCTTTATTTATTTGAAAAAAAATAATCATTTCCACTCGAAAAACGTTACATGAATGTTGTAGCCTGTTAGTGAAGAAAATAATACTGTAGTTTAGAAGGAACATTTAATTCTCGAGTTTTATATAAAAAAAAATATTCAAATAAATCTATCTAAATTGTAAAAAATCATTCTATCTGATGGACAATACCTTCAATTGAATTATATAATTAAAGTTTGGTTGAAAAAAAAGATTAGTAGATAGAAATGATTTCAATTTAATTTTCCTTCATTTGATTTGAAAAAAACATAATTCTCTCAAAATATGTGCATGAATGTTGCTAGGAAAGAAAAAAAAATAGTTTAAAAGAATATATAATTCTCAAGTCTTATAAAATTATAATTTGAGCTAATATGTTTGAATTGTAAAAATTGATTTTATTTGATGCACAACGTTTAATTGAACTATAAAATATTTTAAGAAAATTCTAGCTGAAAAGAAAGAAGACAAATAGACAGAAGATTTTAATTTAGTTGTTCTTTTTTTTTTAATTTGATTTTTTTTTATCATTTTCTCTCAAAAATTAAAGAAATTATTTGAGGTAGGATGTTCAGAGAAATAGAAAAATCAAACCTATTTCAATTTAGAGAAAAAATTACTTTGTTTTTTATTTGCTTTTGATGTTTAAATTTAAAAGTCGATAACTATTGATTTGATTTTTTTAAAAAAAATAATAAAACAACCAAATTCAAATCGATTTCCTAAATACTTATTTAAAATTGCAATTACACACACATTCTAGTGTAGCTTGTGATCTTTTGCTTTTTTATTTTTAGTCTAGTCATTCGCTTTTACAGTAGTTTAGTTCTTTTTCTTTATATTTTATCTTGATTTGTTAACTTTATTTTGACAAGTTCAAAATTATGTGTTTATTTGAGTGTTTAATCACAATTATTGACTAATTCAATTTTCCCACAAAGATATTTTTGTGACAACTTTTATTAAAAGAATGATTGGCTTGTAATATTATGTTTCCTATAGTATTTAGAATAAGTTGATGACAATATATGCCACATATCTTTAAAAAAAAAACAACCATTTTTTATTAAAAAATAAACAAGAAATGGACTTAAATGAAAAATCTGTTTAATATATTACGTATATTTTTTTAATCTTGTAATAGTCATCTCTATAAAATGAACATCATTAATGATAAAATTGGAATATTGAAAGTAAAAATAGTAATTAAATATAACAATACATTTTTGAAAAAATAAATTACAAAATTATAAAATCATAAATGGAATCTAATGAACGAAAAATCAATGAAAAAACGAGGAGAAAATAACAAAATTTATTGGGGGTTGGAATTAAAGATAAACAATTTTTTATTTATTTTGAAAAAATCTTGATTGCATAGTAGACCTATATTCTGGACTTAAATGCCAAAACTCAAAAGAATAAAAATGCAATTAGATATGATATATCAGAATATTAATTCATTAGTCCCCACATTGTTGAATAATATTAAAATATATCTTTCCCAAGTATTACAAAATTTTATCAGAACTCTTAAACATTTGAATAATAAATATATGCCCTTGTACGTAGCTGCTTCGCTCGGTCACAAAAAAATAACCATGTCATTGTCTTTATTCTTGAAATATTTTTTTTATTTTTTTTGTCGTGTCTTTACCGTTAAAATCTAATAAATAGAGATTTGATTGAAAAAAATGTAAGTGCGAAAAGCATGAGTGGATTGACAATATTCACCAACAATACGTGAAACATGAAATTTTTCTGAAAAATTCTATTGAGATTTTCGGTGTTTAATTCCACATGGCCCATTTCATTTGAATTATTCTCATGCATTATTATTCAGTTTTAATAAATTTGAACCAATTTAAATAAATAATTACCTTCCTCATCCTTTTTGTTATCTGAGTATTTCCTATTTTATTGGTTTGTGAGTTAAAGTGTAACTTTGACCAGATTCTTTGTAATGTCAACTTTTTTTTTGTACACTTATTACTCAAATCATAATATGAAAAAAACACACACATAAATATATATATATATATATTTGAATACACTTCTCAGAAAAAAAAAGATTATATCATTTATAGTAAGAAATCTTAGTAAGAAATCTACAGATAAGAGCAATTTAAAAATAAATAAATAGATTTTGATAATTGAATGCATTTTTTTTATAATAAATTTAAATTGGCATTTAGAAGTTAATGAGATTGTCTTTATAGTAAGAAATCTACAGATAAGAGCAGTTTTTTTTTAAAAAAAATAGATTTTGATAATTGAATGCATTTTTTTAAAAAAAGATTAAATTTAAATTGGCATTTAGAAGTTAATGAGATTGCCTTTTAAAACAGTAACCTTAGAACATTTTGAGACACTTCAAGTCGAACAAAAAAAATATATGAAGAAATCAAGCAGTTTATCCAAGGGGGGTTACAAAATTCTGAAGTTTCTATGCTTATCACCAAGTGTCCGATCATCCGGTATCACTCTTAACGTTTTTTTTAATCTAGTTAGCATCTTTTTATTTTATATATTGAATCTTCTTTTAAAGTTAGAAATTCCTTTCATATGTGATTTGAAAATGGTTAAAATGTATCATCAATTATTTTGCTGCGTAGTTCTATTATTTAGTCATATCATGATACTAAAAGCATGTCCAAGTCTTTCTAGCATGTACCACCCCCTCATTAAACATCTACATACACAAATTGGAAAAAAAAAAAGGAACAAAAAAAAGAGGTTTGATTAGTAGAAAAATCTTAGTAGCACAATTGATTGACAACCTAAACTTTCACCTTGTTGGTGAAGATTCAATTTCCCACCTTATAATCCCTTTTCCGTGACTCAAATTTTAAAAAGAAAATTTCAGAAAAAGGTTCTAATCACTAGCATCGAGTCTTCAAATAAGGGAATACACTTTTACTAGTTAGCATCAGCTATAAAAGACACTTGTAACATCCACAAATATTGACTAAGATTTTTTAATTAATTAAAGTAAGGCCCAATCATACATTGTTAAATAAATATTTCTGGAGCAATTTTGAACTTTTAGATAATTCTTGTTTTTTCCTTTCTAAATTTGCGAAATTTCGAGTCTTAATTTTTGTAGGAGTATTTTTTTTTGTCAAAACTAGTTTTTGTATTTCAAGTAAATTTATTGTTGCGTACTTACTTTTTTTATCTTTAACAATTGATAAGTCAGACTCTTCATTAATGACCTAAGAAGTATTAACATTAGTCAATTTTTTTATTTACAATTTAATTATTTTATATTTTACAATATCATAGGTTGATTTAATTAACTTTTTCTGGATTTACTCCTACAAACATTAGATATTTTTTATTCTCTCACTTTACATGTTTTTCTTTTTAAAAGAACTATTCAATTTTTTTTTGATATACCTAAGTTGCAAAAAGACAAAAGTAAATAAAATATTTTTGAATGAAATAATATTTTACTAAAATTATGGAATCTGCCTAAACAATTGAAAGCAAATATATGGAAAATCTACTATCGTAGCTATGATTAAGAACTTTACTTTAATTTGTGAATGCTGAACAGAAGAAACTAAACCATCAAACGAGACCACTGGAGCCCCTTCTGCTGAAACTAGTGATGTTCAAACCACCCCTCATAGAGGTAGAGGCATGGTACAGGAAATAACTTCTCAGCCTCGAAAGTTTTCTTTCAATGAGCTGCGTTTGGCGACAAGAAACTTCAGACGTGAAGATCTTCTTGGAATGGGCGGCTTTGGTCCAGTTTACAAGGGATGGATCAATGAGAGTGGAACGCCGCCTGTAAAACCTGGCACTGGACTAGCTGTTGCAGTGAAGATTTTGAATAGATATGGAGTTCAGGGTCATAGAGAGTGGCTGGTATGCTAGCTACCTACTTTCTGAGTAGCTAGTTTTTATCTTCATTTTTTTTTTGTTAATTTCTGAAAGTTTAATTTACAGGCTGAAGTACACTTTCTTCGAAATCTCCACCATCAAAATTTAGTGAAGCTAGTAGGCTATTGCATGGAAGGACATCAGAGGCTAATCGTCTACGAGTTTATGGCTCGTGGAAGTTTGGAGAACCATCTCTTCAGTATGTTATGGTTCGAGTTTCACATTTATCTTAATTCGTTTTTTATTATGCCTATATATATCCTCTTTCTTTGCTGTGCAGGGTCCATGGTTCTTCCGTGGTGCACGAGGATAAGAATAGCATTAGGGGCAGCACAAGGCCTAGCCTATCTCCATGAAGAAGCTCAAAAACCAATTATCTATCGTGATTTTAAGGCATCCAACATCTTATTAGATGCGGTAATTATCTTTTAAATTTCAATTTTCTCTTCCTAGTAATTATACTAGCTATAATTGTTATTGTCAATATTCCAGGACTACAACGCGAAGCTATCAGACTTTGGACTCGCCAGAGATGGGCCTGAGGGAGAGCAGACACATGTGTCGACGCGTGTTATGGGAACCTATGGCTATGCTGCTCCAGAATATGTGATGACTGGTAAGTTATAATATCAGCTTTAACTCTTCCAAAAAATGAAAGTTAATATAACTATAGGATTGCTATCATTGCGTAGTTGTACATTATATGACTATATATACTCTTACAGGGCATCTGACAATCAAAAGCGACGTCTATAGCTTTGGGGTGGTTTTACTTGAAATACTGAGTGGCCGAAAAGCCATGGACAAGAGTCAACGGATGGGTGAGCATAACTTAGTATCATGGGCAAAACCTTATCTTGGAGATAAGCATCATTTTTGGCGGATTATAGATCCTCGTCTTAGAGGCAAATTCTCAAAGAAAGGAGCACTAAAGTGCACTGAGATTGCTTCTCTCTGCCTTAGAAAGAACCCAAAACTCAGACCTCAGATGAGCGAAATAGTGGAAATGCTAATGCGTCTGCCTTCAACCAGTGAATTTAGAGATGCTGATGACGACAACTCAAAGGATAATAAACATGTAGCTGGGAACCTCTATTCACCAACTGGTCCAAATGCGTCACCGTCTAGCTATACCCTTAGTAACAAGCAGAAGGGGAAACGTCCAGTTCGTTCTTAAAAGAGAAACTTCATTAATTTGCGTTATTATTATTAGTATACTTGTGCTTCCTTATCTGAAAACTTTGACTTGTTATATTTATGAAGATTAGACTTTTGTTTTGACATGCTTTTGGTCATCCATTTTTCTAATTACTAGATCATTTCTATTGCCTATGATGTTGAAAACTCCATCCAAAGTACACTTGAAACTAAACAAAACTATAGGTCACAGGGAAGATACAACCTTCATACACATATCAAACTTAAGTAGATGATATTAAGAGGGATACAAGCCAGCATTCTAGTATTTTTTTATGGAGAAGGTATACATCACGTTGTGGACGTAGGTGTTTCCTGGAGTCACAATTGACGATGGAAAGTTTGGGTGATTCACAGCATCAGGGAACCCTTGAGTCTCCAAAGACAATGCTGAATGAGGCTGATACACAAATCCACCTTTCCCTTTTACATTAATGATAAAGTTTGCAGTGTAAAGTATCACACCAGGTGCAGTTGCTTGTACATTCATCACTCTTCCTGATTTCTTATCATAAACTATTGCCACAGGCTTCATTTTTTCAGTGCTGTCTAGTGCATAGTTCATGTCATATCCGTTTTGGAGTTTGTTAATCCTGCTCCCCACCTTACGGGGTTTAAGGAAGTCGTACGGTGTGTTCTTGACAGGGGAAATTACGCCTGTGGGAATGTGTTGTTTATCGTCTGGGGTGATGTGTGATGCAAATATTTGAATAACTTGGGACAAGACGTCCCCACTGTTGTGACCACCAATGTTCCAGTAAGGGTGGTGAGACAGGTTAATTGGAGTGGCCTTGTTCACTGATTTTGCCTTAAATTCAACGCTAAGTTTGTATGGATCTTTTAATGCATAGGTAACATAGACAAGAACATCACCAGGAAATCCTACATAAGAAAAATATGGAGTTTAGTCTATACATAGTATGAGTAATTGTCTTGTGGAATACCAAAGTTCACCTTCTTCTCCATCAGGACTATGGTAAGTTAGAGTTATGTAAGGACAGGGTCCGTCTTGCACGTGCTTGCTCACTTTCCAGACAACTTTGCTAAATCCTTTAGGACCACCTATTTTTTGAAGTTTTAGTTACATGAGAGACAAAAAGAAAAGAAAACTTGGGTGAAAGTGGAAGAGAAAGCAAAGGAAATGTAACGCGAGTCTATACCATGAATCGTGTTATTGCCTTCATTAGGGACAAGCTTGTAAACGGTTCCATTCAAAGTAAACTGAGCACCACCAATCCGGTTTGCAACCCTTCCAAGTAGAGCTCCAAAATATTCCTTATCATTCTGCACTAAATTATGTTCATTAGTGAACAAACAGGGTTAAATTTCCTTCGTATGTACTTCACATCAATCTAATTGATAGGAGATTTTGTTGAGATGTTATAGGCAAGGGAGGCGCTGTTTATTTGGAAAGAACTACAATTAGACAGCGCCAAATGATGGTATTTGACATGTCACAGTACACATGGAACTGGTGCTGTTGATTTATGAGACTCAGAACCAGAGTGACGTAATAAAATTAAAGGCAATCAAAGAAAGATACAATAGGAAAGGGTAAATTGGAATAGACACATTCAAATACAATTGACAAACTGAAGTGCACTAACCAGGTATTCCTCGATCGTGTCATATCCAAGAACAACATCACCTATTTTTCCTGGAAAGGATCAAGACAAGATGAGACTGATTTATTCAAGGAACAGCAGAAAACAGTCACAAAAACAGATTTAAAATAGGAACATATGGGATTTTTTGGTTAATCATCTAGTTTCTGGTACCTTATTGGCCTGACTAATTCAGATTTACGACCCATTAAAGGGGAAAACACTCCCAAGTTTTTTTTTCCATTCCTAGGGTTTGAACCTGAGAGTTCTCGTTAGGAGTGAGACATGTCAACCATTCCACCATGGCACACTACCTCGTGGTAAAAAAATGAGACTAGTTAAGGTAATAAAATTACATTACCATTCTTATCAGGAAGAAGAACGGAGATGATTGAGGCACCATAATTAGTGACCTTAACAGAGAAATCTCCTTTCTTGATCTCATAGATACCTATCTTGCTCCCTGAAACACTAGAGGCAGCCAACAGATGAAAAATGAACAAACAGATCAATACATTATTTTTTGAAGACATAGTTAACGCTAGTGATTTTGAGACTTTAGGAGTGTCCTAATGACAACTTCTTCGGTCTTGAATTTATACACTCCTCCATTTCATTTGTTCATCATTATGGGATTAGATTATAATCTGAACAGTAACAAAAGATGAGTGACAGCTCTTGAAATTGACATTAAAGTTAGCCGTCCCCTTAATTTGTGACTACTTAAATGCAGAAGTAGTTAATTGTGTTGAATTGCAAATACAAAAATGGCAACAAAGCCGGCTTGCTTGTTATCCTGGAAAATATTAATAACAACTTGGAGCATTTTTGACATAAAAGATATTTTAAACTCAATCACACGTAAATTACCAAAACCTTAGTGTAAAATGTTCCTTTTGTAGAAAGTTTAGAAGTGCTGTACATTAGTTGGAGCTTTCCTAAAAAGACCATTCACGTTTCTCCAGAGGGAAATTCTCCCCATTTCAGCTAAGTTTTTAAAGCTTTAAGTTAAATCAGAAGAATGGTTTTGTTACAAGATTAACGTAAAAGTTAGGACAAAATAAAATTATATTGTACCTGAATGTCAGGTGTCTTATTTGTCACAGAGAACATAATATCCTTGATACAAATATATCAATTTACGTAGAGGATACAAATTAAGAAGAATACAAAAAGAGCACAAGGCGTCGTGCAAAGAAATAACTATAAGCATTCTAGTATTTCTTGATGGAGAACGTATACAGCACGGAGTGGACGTAGGACTTTCCAGGAGTAACAATTGTTGATGGGAAATTTGGGTGATTCACAGCATCCGGGAACCCCTGAGTCTCTAAACACAAGGCTGAATGAGGTTGATACACATATCCACCTTTGCCCTTCGTATTAATGACCCAGTTTGCAGTGTAGAATTGCACACCAGGTGCAGTCGCTTTTATATCCATCACTCGTCCTGATTTCTTATCATAAACTATTGCCACATGCTTCATTTTTTTGGTGCTGTCAAGTGCATAGTTGATGTCATATCCATTTTGGATTTTATCAATCCTGCTCCTCACCTTACGGGGTTTCAGGAAGTCGTAGGGTGTGTTCTTGACAGAAGAAATGATGCCTGTGGGAATATGCTGTGTATCTAACGGTGTGATGTGTGATGCAAATATTTGAACAACCTGGGACAAGACGTCACCACTGTTGTGACCACCAATGTTCCAGTAAGGGTGGTGAGACAGGTTAATTGGAGTAGCCTTGTTCAAAGCTTTTGCCTTAAACACCACGCTAAGGTTGTAATGATCTTTCAATGCATAGGTAACAGAGACAACAACATCACCAGGAAAACCTACGTAACAAAACAATTGAGTTTATTCAATTCATAGTACTTCCTTCAAAATTAAATTAATTGTCTTTGTTGTAGAATGTTGTTACATATATTGAGATTCACCTTCTTCGCCATCAGCACTGTGGTAGGTTAGAGTTATGTAAGGACTGGGACCATCTTGCACGTACTTGCTTACTTTCCAGACAACCTTGCTAAATCCTTTAAGACCACCTATATTTTTGAAGTTTCAATTACATCAGAGAACAGACGAAAGAAATTTGGGTAAAAGTGGAAGAGAAAACAAAGGAAAAAGGAAATGTAGTGAGAGTACCATGTAGCATGTTTACGCCTTCATTGGCAACAAGCTTATAATGGGTTCCATTCAAAGTAAATTGAGCACCACCAATGCGGTTAGCAACCCTTCCTAGGGCGGCTCCAAAATAACTTGTATCATTCTGCAACAAATTACTTTCATAAGTGACTACAAATCACGCTAAATTCTTCAATGTACTTCCATATTAATGCAAAAGATGGGAGATATAGCTGAGATATTATAGGCTAAGGACACAGTCTTTATTAGGAATTAGACAGTGTCAAATGACTGTGGATTTTGGACATAGCATAATTTAAGGCAGTGGTGATAAAAGGACTTGGTAACCTAAAGCTAAATCTCTATAAGAGGCTTTAAACTTGTTTAATAAGATTTAGCCATCAATGAGACAATGGACTTACTTTATAAGATGCATATTACTCAACTGGGACAAAGAAAAATAGCTAATGTAGCAAAATCGAGAAGAAATGGAAAAGTGTAGTAGTCAAATTCTGGAAAGATTAAGTAGAAAACTTTTAGGAAAGAGCAGATTGCAAATAGACGCATTCAATTACAATGAACAAATTAAAGTGAACTAACCTTGTATTCCTTGATGGTATCATATCCAAGAACAACATCACCTATTTTTCCTGAAAGAATCAAGACAAGAAAAAACTGATTACTTCAATGAGCATCAGAAAACAGATCTAAAACAGGAATATGTTTTACAAAAGATGGATTTTTGGTGTCAACCATCCAGTATCCCATTAAAGAGGGCAACACTCCCTACCAAAAGTTTCTCCATTCCTATAGGGGGGTCGAACCTCAGACCTTTAATTAAGGATGGATGGATCAAATAGACTTACCGTTCTTATCAGGAAGAAGAACGGAGATGATTGTGGCACCATAATTAGTGACCTTAACAGAGAAATTTCCTTTCTTTATCTCATAAATTCCTATCTTATGCCCTGTTACACTATCGGCAGCCAACAGGTGAAGAATGAAGAACAAACTGATCAAGAAACTAATCTTTGAAGACATAGTCAACTCGTGTGGTTTAAGAGTATCTTAATGACAGCCTCGAATATATATACTCCCCCCCAATTCATCTGGCATTATTATGGTATTAGATTATTACCTGCATGTGAACAAAAGAAAACTTGTCTGCCAAATTGATCTGCCTGGAAATGGGAAAACTCCGTAGAAGATGGACAATAACTATCAAGTTAGCCGTCTCACATTAGTTTTAAGTATAGTTAATTGCACAAGTAGCTGTTTGTGTTGACTTGTGCATACAAAATTGGCTCCCATGTTGGCGTGTCTTTTTTCTGGTAATAATCAAAACTTGTCCCATTGTTTGGCAAAAAATATATATTAAACTTGATGACTTGATCCGCCAACGTCTTGACTTCTTTTAAGTCACTACCAAGCAGAATCTGGTTCTGGAAGTAAATTTTGACTCTGTCATGGATAAACTCGAAGATTAGTCAGTCATCCTTGTACCTTTATCAGCCTAATTCAGTTTGGAAAGTAAGTAATAGCTTTGTGATTGCCGTATTTCATTTTTCATTAATATGGCTTGGATAGATTTTAGTAACTGGATTCATTAATTGAACTGTTAAAGAGTTATTAACGAGATTAGAAACTTCATCGCTGACTATTAGCTTGATGCAGAGTATCTTGAAAAACAAATGCAAAACAAAACTATCCTTTATTGAGTCAAATGCTGTGTGTTTAATTAGTCATAAAGAACACTACAACCTTGACAAAAATGTCAATTAATGCAAAAGACACAAGGGTGATGAAACAAATAAAAATGAAAGCATTCTCATTATTTTTTGATGGAGAACGTATACAACACTGAGTGGACGTATCTCTCCCCTGGATTCACAATTGACGATGGAAAATTAGGATGATTCACAGCGTCTGGAAATACTAGAGTTTCCAAAGCCAAGGCTGCATGAGGCGGATACATAAATCCACCTTTCCCTTTTTTACTTTTATCCCAATTTGAAGTGTAGAATTGAACACCAGGTGCAGATGCTTTTACATTCATCACTCTTCCGGACTTCTTATCATAAACTATCCCCACGGGTTTCATTTTTGCAGTGCTGTCGAGTGCATAGTTGATGTCATATCCATTTTGGAGTTTGTTGATCCTGCTCCTCACTGTACGGGGTTTCAGGAAATCATAGGGTGTGTTCTTGACGGGGGCAATTTCCCCTGTCGGAATGAGTTCTTTATCAACTAGTGTGATGTGTGATCCAAAGATTTGAATAACGTTGGACAAGATATCGCCACTGGTGTGTCCACCAATGTTCCAGTAAGGGTGGTGAGACAGGTTAATTGGAGTAGCCTTGTTCAGAGCTTTCGCCTTAAATACAACACTAAGTTTGTAAGGATCTTTCAATGCAAAGGTAACAGAGGCAAGAACAGCACCAGGAAATCCTACATAAGAAAGCGATGGCATTAAGTCATTCAAAAAGAAATTACTCCCCGTTATATTTTATGTGATGCTACTTCCTCATTAGTTTGTCCAATAAAATGACACATTTTCTATTTTTGGAGATGATTTTACTCTAAATTTCCTGTTTTATCTTTAACGGCATGATATTATAGCTATGAGAATCTCTTGACATTTTAAATCCCACGAGTTTAAATAGGTTTTCTTTCTTGAATTTTGTGTATAATCAAACTACTACAAGTAATCGAAACTAAAGGAGTAATGTCTGATATGGAAGGCCAAGACTTACCTTCTTCGCCATCAGCACTGAAGTAGGTTAGAGTTATGTAAGGACTGGGACCATATTGCACGTACTTGCTCACCTTCCAAACAACTTTGCTAAATCCTTTAGGGCCACCTATATTATCGAAATTTTAATTACATCAGAAACAGAAAAGAAATTTGGGTAATGGAGATAAAAGAGGAAGAAAAAGCAAAGGTAAAAGGAAATGTAGTGAGAGTACCATGTATCATGTTTTTGCCTTCATTGGGAACAAGCTTATAATGGGTTCCATTCAAAGTAAATTGAGCACCACCAATCCGGTTAGCTACTCTTCCAAGGGTGGCTCCAAAATAACTTGTATCATTCTGCACCAAGTTACTTTCATAGGTGAAAACAAACGAGGCTAAATTTTCTTCAATGTACTTCACATCAATCCAAAAGATGGGAGTTTTTTTTAGCTGATATTATAGACTAGTGACGCGGTGTTTTTTAGGAAAGAACTACAATTAGCAGTGTCAAATGACTGGATTTTCACATGGTACAATTCAAGCAGGGACGGCTAAAGGATTTGGTGACTTGAAACTAAATCCCTATAAACTTTATTTTATAAAATTCAGACATCTATGAGACAAAGTATCTACTTTCTAAACAACATATCACTCAAATGAGAGCAGGAGAAGAAATGAATGTACGCAAACGAGGACAAACAAAACTCAAAATGGTGGTAAATGTTATCCCACAATTTAGCCGCTCATCTGAATAACCTCAACTAAATCCCAAAAGTTAAAAATCAATCGAAGGTTTCTATTAATGTTCGCCTATTAATCTACCGTGCCTGAAGTGAAAGGTTTATAAACTGCATTAAGGGGAATCTTAGTAACTCAATTGGTCAGCTAACTGAACTTTCACCTAGTGGATGGGTTCGATTCCCCCACCTTGTAATCTCCTCCCCATTTCCCGATACTATTGAAGGGGGGAATTGGAATACACATTCAAATTTCAAATACAACAAACAAAATATATTGAACTAACCAGATATTCTTTGATGGTGTCATATCCAAGAACAACATCGTCTATTTTTCCTGGAAGAGATCAAAGACGAAGATAAAACTAGTTTCTTCAAGGAATAGCAGAAAACAGTACAAATTTACACATCAAGACAGAGAGTACATACCATTCTTATCAGGAAGAAGAACAGAGATGATTGTGGCACCATAATCAGTGATCTTAACTGAGAAATCTCCTTTCTTCAACTCATAGATTCCTATCTTAACACTAGCAGCAAACAACAGATGAAAAATGAACAAACAGATGAACAAATTAATCTTTGAAGACAAACTCATCTTGGATCTCTGTTTTTTTAGAGTGTTTGAATGACTGCTTTTTTCAGCCCTTCAATTTATATACTTGTTCATTCATCTGGTATTATTGTTTTTGTGGTATTAGAATATTAGCAGCATGTGAACAAAGAGCCTGTTCTGTAGAAAAATCCACAATAATGAGTGTTAAGGACTGAAATTGATTGAGTTGTTTCAGTCAAATTATTCGTCTCCTGCCCAAAATAGTAGTTCAATTTCCCTTTTTATGGTGAATTTAATTAATTTTCAAGATTGTAGTAGATTAGATCAATTTAATATTTTATAATTATAAATTTTGGATATTAAGAAACTATTACGGAGTATAAATTGTTTTTTTTTTATATCAATAAAATGAAAAAACATAATTTAAAATGTTGGTCTAAGTTCATATTTTGACTCTCAAAAAAAAATTATGACAAGTATTACTTTCTGTCCACCTCATACTAACGAGTACATAATTTTTTTAAAATTGCATAAATATTACTATTAAATAATATTTTTTTTTTTGAGTAAAGTTATATTTAAAAAGTGTAAATTCTTGAAAATGACGAAGGATCAAGAACTTATTTGGAAGTTCTTCATTTTAAGAAGACAATTAGTCAATGATAATTTGCCCAAACTGAAAATTATTTTTAAGAAATAAAAATGTGGACCAACATTTCCCGTAGGTCTGTGCATTAATAAGGGGGAAACGTATACATCATCCTACTGGTCCTTTTTTCACAATATATCATAATAATTGTACTTACATTGAGAATCCTACAATTATTTACATTTTATACCAAGCTAGTAAAAATAGAACATTTTTTTGTAAAGATGGTATATATACAATGTAATTTAAATTTAAAAAACTGAATTAAAAATTTAATATCATTAGTGGGTGAAATTTAAAAACATTGTTGTCAACATGTGTTAAGTGACTTTTCTATATGGTATACCAGATAGATTTCTCTTATAATAAAATACTATGGATATACATAATTAATCGCAGAAAGTAGCTGTTTGCGTGACTCTTAATACAAAAAAAATGGTACCCACGTTGGCGTGATTATAAAAACTTTTTGCTTATTATTTAGTTTTAAATTTTGGCACTTGAACCGCATTAGCAAACATCATGAGTATTTCCTTTGGTTGCGTTCAGTGTTTTCCGGGTATGACTGCCCATGATATAAGGTCAACTACAACGTGTCAGTTTGATAGAGTGTATAAAAATAATATCAATTAAGTTATAAAAAGGCATATTTCATTGATGTACCCACACTAATTACTGAAAAGATAAATGAGTTATTTATAAATACATTTATTGGTGTGAGTCGTAGTATGAATTTAGCCCAAAGGGGATAATATCATTATTTAATTACCGATTTGCCCTTAGAAATCGAATTTATGTCTCCTTACTAATGTAGGAGTTTTAGTTGTCACAGAACATATAACCTTGATACAGAAATCAATTGAAGTAGACAAACTTATTAAGAGGATACAGGCCAAGTCTACTTTTTGATGGAGAAAGTATACAACACAGAGTGGGCATAAGTTTTTCCTGGATTCACAATTGTGGACGGGAAATTTGGGTGATTTACAGCGTCAGGGTACCCTTGAGTCTCCAAAGACAATGCTGAATGAGGCTGATACACAAATCCACCTTTCCCTTTTACATTAATGATCCAATTTGCAGTGTAGAAATGCACACAAGGCGCACTCGCCTGTATATCCATCACTCTTCCTGATTTCTTATCATAAACTATTGCCACTGCTTTCATTATTTCATTGCTGTCGAGTACATAGTTTCTATCATATCCAATTTGGACTTTATCGATCCTGCTCCCTACCTTACGAGGTTTAAGGAAGTCGTAGGGCGTGTTCTTGACAGGGGAGATTTCCCCTGTAGGAATGAGCTGTTCATCAACTAAGGTGATGTGTGATGCATAGATTTGAACAACTTGAGACAAGACGTCACCACTGTTGTGACCACGGAGGTTCCAGTAAGGGTGGTGAGACAGGTTAATCGGAGTGGCCTTGTTCAGTGATTTTGCCTTAAATTCGACACCAAGTTTGTAAGGATCTTTCAATGCATAGGTAACAGAGACAACAACATCACCAGGAAATCCTATAACAAAACAATTAATTGACATGATTCATCAAATTCATATATAGCTTTCTTCAAAAGGGCACTAAGATTTATTTACCTTCTTCACCATCTGCACTGTGGTAGGTTAGAGTTATGTGAGGACATGGACCATCTTGCACGTATTCGCTTACCTTCCAAACAACAAAGCTAAATCCTTTAGGGCCACCTGTATTGTAATTACATCAGAGAAAGGAAATGAGTAAAAATGGAGGTAATAATGTTAGAGAAACATAGGTAAAAGGAAATGATGAGAATTGCCATGAATTGTGTTATTGCCTTCGTTAGGGACAAGCTTATAAAGGGTTCCATTCAAAGTAAATTGAGCACCACCAATCCGGTTAACAACCCTCCCAAGTAGGGCTCCGAAATAACGTGTTTCATTCTCCAATAAAAAATCACTTTCATATTAGTTTATACATAACGTGGGATTGCTTTGTGCGCGTTATGAGTAGCTAAGAACAACGTCATCTATTAAATACAATGAAGAGAGTGAACTAACAATGTATTCCTTGACAGTATCATATCCAAGAACAACATCATCTATTTTTCCTGGAAAGGAGCAAGACAAGATTATGACTGATTTCTTCAAGAACTCGCGAAAAACAAATACAGATCAAGAAAATTGAAACAAAAACATATGTAAGAATCCAAATAAGTTTCCGAAAACATACCATTCTTATCAGGAAGAAATACAGAGATGATTCTGGCACCATAATTGGTTATCTTAACAGAGAAATCTCCTTTTTTAATCTCATAGACCCCTATCTTGCAACCTGCAACACTACCAGCAGCCAACAGATGAAAAATGAACAAACAGATCAACACACTAATAACCTTTGAAGACATAATCAGCTCCTCTGGTTTTGAGACTCTGTTGGTTTTTTATAAGATGGAGTGACAAAGAGGTTGAAAATATTGACTGTAATTGACTATCAATAGTTTTATTAAGCAGAACTTTAAATAGCTAACTTAAAAAAGCAGAAAATCTGCATAACAAAAATTCAAAAATAAAATAAAATATCAACAAATTAATAAAAATCTAATATTAAAAAAAATAGATTCGTCTTAAAACTATTATGGTATAAAGATTACTGCAGGAAAGCAAATTTCGAGTGCTTTTTAGTGACAGCTTCTTCAGACTTAATTATGTGATCCTCTAATTCATGTGGGACCTATAATTGGAATTAGATTATTATGTGCATGTGAGAAAGAAAAGAACTTGTCTGTCAAATAATGTGCGCAAAAATGGGATAATTCAATTAAAAATTAATAATGGTGAGTGCAGTATTCATTAAGTTTAAGAGAGTCAAGTTAGCCATTCCATTATTATTTTATGTATCGTTACATGAACAAGTAGCTGTTTATGCTGACTCGTAAATAAAATAATGGCACCCACGATTGGCGTGGTTCTTATTCTGGAAATGTAATTAAAAACTTGGAAAATTTATGGCTTAAAAGATATATTATACTCAATCACATGATCCACAATTTCCTGAATTCAACTTTTTAAATGCCCCTAAATTTAGCTTCCAACTTTGGCCTTTCAACCTCATTAAAAGGTGTTAATTTAACACATTAGAGTTAAAATGAAATGAAAATAGACTCGACCTCTCTTAGAAGATTCAGAGTTCATAGCTTCGTTCGATAAATCACTCAAATCAAAGAGGAAGGAAGGAAGCCCTGAGTTGTGGTGAGTCCCATATCGGTGGGATGAGGAAATTTGAACTTTTTTATTTGGTCTTGACAATCCTCTCCTCGTGAACTAGTTCTGGGTTGAGTTAAGCCCAAAACACTTTTCTATCGTGGTATCAGAGCCACACCCATGGTTTATCATATCAGAACACTCAACGGAAATACAAAATTATCCACTTCAAAAACAGTGAGTCCACATTTGAACACTCACTGAACATGTCTGCAATCAATTCTTACAGAACTCCATCAAGAAACAAGTACTATGAGTCTAAATGTCAGGTGTTTTATTTGTCATAAAGAACATATAACTTGACGAAAAAGTATCAATTTTATGCTTTAGATACTAAAGACACAAGTGATGGAGGAAAAAACTAATAAGAATTCCAGTATTTCATGATTGAGAATGTATACAACATTTTGTGAACGTAGGCCTTCTCTGGAGTCACAATTGTTGAAGGGAAATTTGGGTGATTCACAGCGTCGGGGAACCCTTGAGTCTCAAAACACAATGCTGCATGAGGCTGATACACATATCCACCTTTCCCCTTCTGATTAAGGGAGTTTGCAGTGTAGAATTGGACACCAGGTGCAGACGCTTGTACATCCATCACTCGTCCTGACTTTTCATCATAAACTATTGCCACCGGCTTCATTTTCTCAGTGCTGTCGACTACATAGTTGATGTCATATCCACTTTGGAGCTCCTTGATCTGGCTCCCCACTTCACGGGGTTTAAGGAAATCATAGGGTGTGTTCTTGACAGGAGAAATTTCGCCGGTAGGAATGAGGCTCTGGTCTACTGGAGTGATGTGTGATGCAAAGATTTGAACAACATTTGACAAGATATCACCACTGTTGTGTCCACCGAGGTTCCAATAACTGTGTTGAGCCAAGTTAACTGGAGTAGCCTTGTTCAGAGTTGTTGCCTTCATTACCACACTAAGCTTGTAAGGGTTTTTCAATGCATAGGTAACAGAGACAAGAAGATCACCAGGAAATCCTACAAAAGAAAACAATGGATTTTACTCTATTCATACTGTATCTTCAAAAGGAAATTAATCAATGTGATTGTCATGTGGAATAACTAATTTACCTTCTTCACCATCAGCACTGTGGTAGGTTAAAGTAATGTGAGGATAGGGACCATCTTGCTGGTATTTGCTAACATTCCAAACAACACGGCTAAATCCTTTAATGCCACCTATATTTTTGAAGCTCTAAGAGGAAGGAAAGTTGGGTATATGGAGGTGAAAGTGGAAGAGAAAGTAAAGGTAAAAGGAAATTGTAATGAGGATACCGTGCAGTGTGTTTGCGCCATCATTGGCGACAAGCTTATAAAGGGTTCCATTCATAGTAAATTGAGCACCACCAATCCGATTAGCAACCCTTCCAAGTAGTGCTCCGAAAGAAGTTGTATCATTCTGCACAAAATTACTTCTATCTCTTATGTGTATGAAGATTTCAACGTATCAAATGACTCATCCCATAGAAGACTTGAAATTAAAATGGGACATTATTAAATTCAAAACTCTTTCTCATTCCAAATGTTGATCTGGTAACAATGTGAAATAATCTAACTATCCAATCTAAAACTTAATGCAATATAGGCCGCAGCTGAAAACTTTCAGTTGAATTGAAACGAACACACAAATAAGAACAATGAAGGCAAATGGTTGGTTTTTTGCTAAGGCACATCCTATGAGCCATACAAGCATTACCACACAGCAGAGGTGCATTGATATCACTATGATGGTCCACCAGTTAGATGCTTCAGAACGTGAATTTTCCTAGTGTCAACCAGCTCAGACAAGCATACATTTAGTGTGCAGTATGCTTAAACGACGTAGAAACAGAATTATAGTTCTGTACTATTACTATGATTGTTGAATGTGTTTTGTCTGAAATTTCAGTTAAAATTAGGCCCAAAATTTCATTTAAGAAAAGAACCAAGAGGAGTTTTTACGATTTCCTAAAATTTGATGTTCAAACTAAGGATGGTTCATTGAATCCAGAGAGAATTAGAATGCATAACTCCAAAGGGGCAGAGGACTTTTTGCCAGTCTTAATTTCATTCAATGTACTTCACATCAAGCCCATAAGCTGGAAGGTTTTGAGTTAGATACTATAGGCTAGAGTCGCTGTTTTTGTTAGGAAGGAGCTACAACTAGACAGTGTCAAATAAAAAACTGTTAATAATTGGATATGAATTTTGACATGGCACAATTGCTATAGAGTCACAGAGAACAAAAGTGGCAATCAAAGAAAGGAGAAAATGAACTAAAAAGCTTTTAGAAAGGAGCAAATTCAGATTGATCATTAAAATAGAACAAAGCGATCTAACCTTGTATTCCTCAATGGTATCGTATCCAAGAACGACATCACCTATTTCTCCTGCAAAGGATCAGCAAGAGACTATAAGACTGATTTCTTCAAGGAACAGAAGATAACAGTTGACATATATACATCAAGAAAGTTCCAATGTAGAACAAGTTAAGAGTGCTAAGAAATATAAAAATAGAACTCATTCAATTTAAATACTAAATCTGTCTCTGAATTGATAACGAGAACGACAGATATACCATGCTTATCAGGAAGAAAAACAGAGATGATTCTGGCACCATAATTGGTGACCTTAACAGAGAAATCTCCTTTCTTGATCTCATAGACCCCTACATTTTGCCCTGTAACACTGATGACAGCCCACAGATGAAGAATGAATACACAGATCAACAAATTAATCTTTGAAGGCATAGTCAACTATAGTAATTTTGAGACTTAAGAATGTCTGAGTGACAAACTCGTTCAGCCTTGAATGTGTACTCCACTAATATCCTTGGCCTTACTTTTTTCTTTTGAGTATGGTAAACATTTATCCTTCACTTTATTGTGAAAAAGTTTATTAATTGCAGTTTGCATGTGCACAAATCAGAACTTGTCAGCTGCGCGGATATTAACTCACGTGAAGTTAGCCATTCCAATTATTTAAGGCCAAATACACAAGTGGTCCCTTAAAATTAACACCAATTTTCATTTTGACACTTAAACCAAACAGTGACCAGATTGGCTTTTCATCCCAATATTGACACCAGGGCTAAAAATTAACAGTGATGGATTGCACACATTTGTTTTTTTTTCAGAGTTATCTATAAAAGGTGGAAATCACATTTTGATTCTAAATAAGTAAATATTATATGAAACTGTTAACTATTTATATGGAGTAATGTGATTAGAGAACTCAATGAAAACTATTAACCTGAAACAATAGAGGTACACACTTTGATTTGTTCTAAGAAAAGCTATGCTCAGACTCTTCAAAAACCCTGAGGATGTGTATCCGATACTGCAAAAGTAGAGCATTTTGAAGAATCCAACACGGGTACAACAACAAATTTGGAGAGTCTAGCAACATAGAAGAAAAGAAATAAATTTTTTCACTCCAAAAGCAATGAGTCCACATGCAAACACTCACCAAACATGTTTGAAAACAGTTCTTAGGAAACTCCAGCCAAGCACAACTGTATTGAATAAGAATGGCAGGTGTTTTATTTGTCACAACTCACAAAGGACATGTCACCTTGATAGAAAAAATAGCATTCTAATATTTCTTAATTGAGAACGTAAACAGCATTTTGTGAAAGTAGGGATTTTCCGGAGTCACAATTGTTGATGGGAAATTTGGGTGATTCACAGCATCAGGGAATCCTTGAGTCTCCAAACAGATGGCTGAATAAGGCTGATAAACAAATCCACCTTTCCCCTTCTTTACAAGGGTGTTTGCAGTGTATAATTGGACAGCAGGTGCGGTCGTTTGTAAGCTCATCACTCTTCCTGACTTTTTATCGTGAACTATTGCCGTGGGCTTCAGTTTTTCAGTGCTGTCTAGTGGATAGTTTATGTCATATCCATTTTGGAGTTTCTTGAACTGGCTCCCAACTTTACGGGGTTTAAGGAAATCATAGGGCGTGTTCTTGACAGGGGCGATTTTTCCTGTTGGAATGAAATGTTGATCTAACGGGGTGATGTGTGAAGCAAAGATTTGAACATCGTTGGACAAAACATCGCCACTGTTGTGTCCACCAAGGTTCCAATAAGCATGTTGAGCCAAGTTAACTGGAGTGGCCTTGTTAAGAGCTTTTGCCTTCATTACCACACTAAGCTTGTAAGGGTCTTCCAATGCATAGGTAACAGAGGCAAGAAGATCACCAGGAAATCCTACAAGAGAAAACAATGGATTTTATTCAATTCAGAATGTTCTTCAAAAGGACTCCACCCATTTCAATTTGCTTGTCTAGTTTGACTTGGCACAAAGTTTAGAAAAACAAAGAAGACTTAAAATTGTCTTGTGGAATAACCATTAACCAAGCAGATGTATTCACCTTGTTCACCATCAGTACTGTGGTAGGTTAAAGTAATGCGAGGATGGGGACCATCTTTCTTGTACTTGCTCACCTTCCAAACAACATGGCCAAATCCTTTAGGGCCACCTACATTTTTCAAGTTTTTACATAAGAGGAATGAAATTTGGCTATTATGGAAGTGAAATTGGCAGAGAAAGCAAATCTAGTGAGGATACCATGCAGTGTGTTTTCGCCATCATTGGCGATAAGCTTATAAAGGGTTCCATTCAGAGTAAATCGAGCACCACCAATCCGGTTAGCAACTCTTCCAACAATAGCTCCAAAAGAACTCGTATCATTCTGCACAAAAGTTTTTCACATTTGTTTATTCCTATATAGATTTGTAAAGTATCAAGAGGCTGATTCCATATTCTCATCCATTGATTTTTGGAAAGAATTTTGAAATTTGACATTCTTTATGCCCCCTCTACTAACTTAGAATATGACATTATTGAGGCACATGTGAAACCTGTTAAATGAGCTTGCCAATGTTGGTTTTTATGTCATATGAGATAATGTATCAAATGTAAAACTTAAATGCATTAGGTGGAGTATTCAAAAATCAAAAATCCCTTTGGATGCCTTTATGTATTCAAAATATGGTGTACTGCTAAGTTAAACAAATACAAACACACAAATAAGGCATCTTACTTTTAGCTAGCTCAAATGATGAAAGAGGCCTAATATGTCCAATGATGGTCCACCCTATTGTGAATGTTCATAGTGCCAGCCAGCTCGGCTAAGCATACTTTTTAGTCTAAAGTGCACTAAAATGGGATAGGGACAGCAGAATCATAGTTCTCTACAATGAATTTGTTTTACTGAAAACTTCTTGTATATTAGGCACAAGATTTTGTTTCAGAAAAGAAACAAGAGGAATTTTTACAATTCACCTAAATCTGATGTTCAAACGATAGAGAATCATCTATCTCCACTTTTCTCCAGTCTAAATAAATTTCTTCACATTAGTCCCAAAAAAAACATGGGAATTTAGGTTACATACTATAGGCTAAAACACGGTCTTTTTGGTTAAGAGCTACAATTAGACACTGTATCAAAGAAACAGTTGTTAATCCGACAAATGATATGTGTCAAACAAACAACTGTTAATCCCACAAATGTTTCTCACTGCTCTTTCTCTGTTTGTCTTTTTCCCTAATGAGAAAATGATGAACACTAAGAAGTTTTTAGAAAAAGAACAAAGTGAAACTAACCACGTATTCCCCAATGGTGTCATATCCAAGAACAACATCACCTATTTTTCCTGGAAAAGAACAAAGCAAGATAACACATCAAGAAAGTTGAAACAAGAATCAGATAGTGCAGTTAAGAACCAAGAATCATGAAAATATAACTCATCAAACTAAAATCTTGAATCCGCCTCCGAATTGATTATGTAAACATACCATTCTTATCAGGAAGAAGAACAGAGATGATTCTGGCACCATAATTAGTGACCTTAACAGAGAAATCTCCTTTCTTGATCTCATAAATTCCTATCTTGTGTCCTGCAGCAGCCCATAGATGAAGAATGAAAAAACAGATCAACAGATTAATCTTGAAAGACATAGTTAAGCAACTCTCAAGAGTGTGTGTGAGAAGAAGATATGGTATCCTCTAGTCTTAATATACAAGTACATGTGCACAAAAGAAGACTTTGTCAGCAGATAATGATGTGTGTGTGGTCTTGGATTTACACAGAGGCAAGTTGTTTTATGTATTGTTTAATCCCAAAGTAGCCGTTTGTGTTGACTTGTAAACAACAAAAATGGCATTCAAGTTGCCATGAATCTTAGCATAAAATAAAACATATTAAAATCAATCACATTTTCTTGAATTTTAAAGTATATAATCAATCAAGTAATCTTTAAATTTAAGACAGCAGCATATTAAATTCAAATTAACGCTTTTCAGCAAGTCATAATCTTCAACTTTACAATGTACAGAACAGTATCAGTGAGAAATCTTTTTTTGGTGTATGGAAATAAATTTAGATATTTAATTGAATAAAGTACACCACTTTTATCTTTTTTTTTACTAAAAATAAGAAAGCAACAAAAACCTCATCTAAAAAGAAATACTTTGACCAAAAGATGAGATTCAAATTAATAGGGATCACCCCACCACCACCACCGTCCACCAAGACTCCGACCCGCATAGGGCAAAATCAAATTGAACACAAGTGAATGCAGGAAATAACCTGAACTGTCTGATGATGACAAAGGTATAATTTTTAACTCAGATGATGACAAACACATGAAATTTGAAGAAAATGTGAGATTTGCCTGCTAATTTAAGGAGATCCCAAAACCTTAATCTAGTTACTAATGATGAGGTTATACTCCTAGCCCTTCCTCTTTAAAGACCACTGTCTTTCATTAAAAAGATATTGAAAATGATATACTTCTCTTTAATTTATGGTGAGTGTATTTAAAGAAAAAACCTTCCCTCTTTCGGACATAATTAAGGGGTTGTTTGGTAGTGTGTATTAGGAAAAAAAATACATGCATTAGTCTTGTGTATTACAATTATACACCCTATTGTATATTATTAATACCATGAATTTCTAGTTATTAGCAATGTAATGATATTAATGCTACTCAATTAAAGATTCAATTGCCCCTCAAATCCCTTTTTACACTGTTTCCATCATAATAGTGAAGGGTATTTTTGTAAATAATCTTTTTTATGCAATGCATGTTATTTAATGCATCAAACCAAATAATGTATAAAACTAATTTATATATAATTAATGCAACCATAACTAATACCTCATTTTATACTTAGCAATAATTATTTTTAAAAACTATAAATAAACAAGAAAAGAAATATTTAATATCATAAGACATCAATGAGCATAAAATAATAAAAAAGTTCTCCTAATTTATACTATTTTCTTTTAAAAAGCCGGGACATATAAATTTGAGACTGAGGGAGTGATCAAAATTCACAAAGATTATGTCCCACCTGTCACATTGGAAAAAATTTATCATGGAAAGCACAATCAATAAAAGGTGTGTGAGGTTTCATTTACTTTTTGACACATGGATAAGTTGGGCCATTTATGTACTTTTCTACTTTAAAGCAAGAATTTTCTACAACTAACAAGAGAGAGAAAATATATTTACACATAAATTGAGTTGAACAAATATAAAAAATGCAAGAAAAATTATGTGTGTTTGCTACTTTTTTTTAATCATTATTAATATTATATTAATTTATGGAATTATATTAGATATATTATTGTTGTTATAGTTGTATGTTAGTTTGACAAATTTATTTTGACATGATATTTTTTTTGTGTATTCATGTTGTGTTTTTTTTTAAAAAAAAAATTATTTCATAATTATTGTGAATTTAAAATGTAGTCATTTTATTTTAATTGTTACTATCTGAAATGTTGATTGTTACCTTATTTTTAAATTAGACCTTTTGAAGGAAAGTAAAAAAAATAATTATATTATTATTGTGGAGATGATTGTTTAAAACAAAGTATCACTACTCAAAGAAATAATTTTAAAAAAGTATCCTTATCCTAACAACAAAATTTCAGTAGATGTAGAATGTACGATTTAATATAGTTTATATTTTATTTTTATCATTATTACAATTTGATCGTTAATTTTTAAATAAAATTTTAAAATATTTTCTCAAGTACGTTTATTTTAATTTTTTAAAAATATTGTATGATTATTGTTAAATTTGTGAAATAATAAGTTATTTTAATTAAAAATGGCTAGATATAAAAAGAGAATCAAGGTCTGAAAAACTAATTTTTTTATTTATTTTCAACATCAACGAGGATGTCAACTTTTTTTAAACATCAACGAAAACGTTAATTTTTTATTAAAAAAATACACATTCAGTTTGAACATCAAAATATGTAATTTTGATTTTTAATAAAATTAACAAGACCATGATTTGATTTAATAAACAGCATTACAAAGAATTGATTAAATGAGCATTCAACAAGTATAAAATGTGGACCCTATAGTCATTTTTTATTATATTTTTATAATTATTCAATGAATTGTATTATAGTATCCGATAAGATATAGGAATAAGGGTGTGAAAAATATCCTAACTTTGGTCGAAATTGTTGTTATGATACCAAATTTTAATGAGGACCTATTACCCCCAGACTATTTAATACCGTATTTTAAACATATATATTTGTCCACGTGTACATAAAAAATAATGCAAAATTATAAATAGTAATGTGTACACGTGGGCACATATATATACCTTTAAAATACACTATTAAATAGTTCAGGAGGTAAAAAATACACTATTAAATAGTTCATGGGGTAATAGGTCCTCTATAAAATTTGGTATCATAACAACAATTTCGACCAAAATTGAGGTATTTTTCAAACCTTTATCCCTAAAATATATTAATTATAAATACAATATTATTTTAATATATATCTTTTGTCAACTGAACTCTAATATGGTATCACGCTTAAAAAAGCGAGTGAAAGCAATGAATTTGCTTTAAAATAATTAAATAATAAAAAGAAAAGAAAAAGGAAAAAACAAATTAAAGTTCTTAACCCTCCCTTTTCTTCTCCCTTTGCTTCCGGCGTTCTGAGAAAGCAATACAGATCTCGCCGTCCCTTGCGACGCCGTTTTGTATCTTCGTCCATTCTGTACATTGAACCTCCGTTAATGATTAGGTGTATTGTGAGTTTTAGCAGTGTCAATAGAAGTTTTAGATGTTGAAAAAGAAGGCTGATTTTGCTTCGGTGGCTATGGGTCTTCCATGGTAGTTATGCGATGATTTCGCTTCGGTGGCGATTTTGTTCCGATGGCTTGCTCCGCCCATTTTGTCGATAGATTTCTTTTTCTTGTGTTGAGATCTGGGTTTGATTGTGCGTGGTCTTCTTCTTGGGCCACAAAAATCTGCCATAAGACCCAACATTAAGAAAACATTGTTTCTGATCTTTATAGTTATTTTTCGAAGAAGAAAAGAATTACCATAACGATTAAGAGTGTTCAAGTAAGTTTAAGAGTGTTCAAGTATGCTTATAGAAGCGGAAATCTGTCGAGTTTGTCCAGCTTAAGCATGTTAGGTTGAAACTATGAATGAAAAAAATTCTTATGTCTCACTAGATCATTGAGAGATCAATTTTGGGTTTCCATTTTCTTTACCTGTGTTTGGTAGTCGTGGTTTGAGGGTGATGGAGGAAAAGCAAAAGAAATAACTATTTTGTTTTATTTTTAAATAGAAAACTTATTATTTTTTATCTTTTATTTGAGTGATATTTTAGATTAATAGAACTAATTATGACATGGCATTAGCATATATGATGTGGATATGGCATGTCATTTTTGTTAGAGAGAGTGAGCTACACACATGATTGGAGGGGTTCAAACGTCTCATTTTAATTGAGTTTAAGGGTTCAGTTGACAAAAGATTAAGTAAAAGAGTCTAGAATACAAACTCATACAAATACAAGGGTCTAGAATACAAACTCATACAAGTACAAGGATCCATTGAACCATTTCGCCTTTTAATTTAGGTTTAAAGTACATAAATGGCCCACTTATCCATGTGTCAAAAAGTAAATGAAGCCTCGTACATCTTTTGTTGGTTGTGCCTCTACCATGGTAAAAAATTTCGTCACATTGAACCTTGAATTTCAAGTATCTGTCCACGTCTCTCTTTTCTGTTCTTCCCCAAAGGCGATACTTGTTTCTCCTATATATATATATACTATACAACTAATGAAGGGATATTCCAATCTTCTGGGAGCCAGTTCTTCCCATTGCCTCTGTGATTGAAATAGACCTATGCAGATATGTATGCTACAATATTGTGGTCAAATGAGACTGGAGCCACCAGCTACGGTCATTAGTACGAGTAACTCATACATTTGAAGGGGACGGCTTCCACCTTCTTGTCCACCCTTTTTTAAGTCAGTACCACACAATGAAGTGAAATTGTGAATAGAAATGTGTTTATTCTCTGCTACTCAGTAGGTTATGCATAGGGGATATACACATAAGAATAAAATCTCACTGAGACCAAAAGAGCCGAATGTTCTTCACTCAAGATACAAGGCATATGGGGCTAATAGAAAAAGGAAAGGAAGATAAAGAATATCAAGGAAATCCTGTTAAACCAAGTACAGAGTCTCAACTATACAATAACTGCAAACACCCCAACAACACTAATAGAAACATGATAAAGATGCTTACGATATCAAACAACGGTTATTTGGAATTTGCAAATTTAACCTAATACAGAAAATATTGATGTCAACAACACATGCGGTACTAAAGTTCCTTGAGTAAGCAGAATGTTTAACTCATCTCCTCCAACCAGGAAGCACCTTTTCTGAAGAGGGAGCCAAAACATAATCATTGAGTCAGTGAAGTGTGTTCCAAATTGATGAAAGTAAATGAGCTTATAACACATCAATTCTGAAATGATCTAAGAGAACCATTTACCAAAAGATAAAGGCATAAGACTATCACAATGAAGAATAAAGAATAAATGTCAGACCATTTTACATATGGAGTCTTCAACATTTGAAACAGTGCATGCAATTTACTTTACTTTACTTTTGAGAATTCGGTTTTCTTCTTGTTGTCTTGACTTTATGAATGGTCAGAAAGAAAGAATGACGCACCTCATCCAGACCCAAACATTAATAATTACCATACATGATTTTTTATTTTTTTTTAAAAAGCA